AATAAAAAGATTAATTAATACACAGCCGTCGCTGTTGATATGCATTTATAAAATCTTAAATGTACATATCTACTGCTGAACAACAAAGAACTTAGACAACTTAGAATTAAAAAAAAAATTTAACGCATTTTGTGTATTTTGTAACAAAATACAATAGGGGATTATAGCCGAAGGCGTATTTATTGTGACGCATTTTCAGCATTTTGATACCGTAACGGGAAATAGATAGTACCGGTCTTTCATAATCATTCCTTCCAAGGCCAATTTCATACGTCAAGTCACCAAACCAGATACTTTGAACAAGGTTTATGAGTGAACTGTTGTTTGGGTAGGGGTTCTTTTGTTTTAGATATAAAGGTGAAAAGTCCAGACCTTTTCTCTGATTTGTTTGGATGATCCAGCGTCGCCCACTCGTTTTACGTCGTTTCTTTAGATGGGATTTGATGACGCGAATCGCTGTGCACATGTGGATGATTCTTGCCTTCCTTTATACTGTCCGCAATATACTGTCGTCGCTTGGCTAAACAATACTGAGAGAGAACACTAAATTTCTCTTTAAGACATGCTGAGTAAAATTCGAGTTTTATTAAGCAACACTGATAATCAGAGAAAAAATTATTTTATACTCAAGATACTCTTTAAGATATTCTTAGTAAAATGCATTATCTTTGATGAGAGGTAAATTAAGCAGTTCAGATGTTTTATTAATATTTGTAAAGCATCCTGGGCAGAATTTTACTATCGACTGTTAATTGGATGGATGTTAATATCTTTTCTTCGAAATAAACCAAAACCCATGTAAATCCACTGTATCAATACCAATGACCTAGTGAGATATGCACCATCCGACATTTATATACATCTGATAAACAAAAATCCATTGGTCAAATGATCAAAAGATACCTATCTAATGTTCAAGTAATTGATTGGTAAAATCAGTGACAAGGTGAAATATCGGAACAAATAGCATCCTGCGACAGTATGTAAATGTGCACAAAAAAGATGGCCCCAAATTTAACATGGCGGTAATCTTACCACCTTCCTTAGCGTAGGACAACCAGTTCTACTCATGTGCAGTAAGGACTATTAATTTTCGTACTAAATTCTTACTGATAAGCATTATCGGAAGCGAACAGCGAACAAAAGAATCCCCTGAGAACATTGAAGTTACGTTGGATTTGTGGTACCTTAACATTTGGAAAATGTTATTAATGAAAATTTTGTCAGTTCTTGGAACGGTAGAGAACAAGTAGAGAACATATGAAAAAAATAGGGCCACATGGCCCAGTAGATCACCAGTGTATTTGTCTATTTGGTAAGATATGTATTTTATTTTAATTCTTTTGATCGATATATCTTGTTAATTTACCTTGGTAAAGTCTACTGAAGAATTTATTATTTATCTATAATATATTAAGATATGATCCTGGTATACCGATTAGTAGTAGGTAGACCTTCATATGGATAGGATCAGATGACCGTAAATTACTACTCAAAGGAACTCATTTCACTCAAATCATTCCTGTCCTGTGTTAGCCGACTTTGCAATCAAGTTTACTGGAATACATTTCTTAAAATGAAGTTGAAATAATTCAGTTCATCGGTTTATCAGAAACATCAAATAATTGCATCTATCATGATTACTTTAAAAACAGCTTTTCTTGGTCTTCAAGGAGAGCAAATAATGCTTCTAGCGCTTGGCCTCCGTTTCTCTTGAATAAACTTTGTTAAAAAACATATTTTAATTATTTTGATAATGCTCATCAATATTGATGTCTATTTAATCCTTCCCGGAAGTAATGAACACTAGAACATGGTATACAGTATACTTCATTTAAGCTTTTCATCACATGTCGGTTTATTCGGGTACGTACCGACAGTCCGAAGGCCCTAAAATCCACACGGTTTTAGCCACCAACTATTTCCAACCCCCTCTTTAATTAGCCGCTTCGTGTAGATCAAACAGTGTTAGAGGCTTGTATCCCATATAATTTGTAAATTCTGTCAAAATTTATTATGTACTTAAAAAGAAAGTGCTGGTAACGTTTCGGGGAACAATGATAATAACAATGACAGTGTAGAACGTTACAATAACGTTCTCTTCACGTTTGCCAATGGTGTAACCTGTGGCAATGTTATCAAAACGTTCTATGTTATATTTTGTTTATAAATTATCAGTATAATTGAAATGCATTATCTAGGAGAATTAATAGAACTTATCATGTATCAAGACGTTGGCGTCGAAGGCTTAATCTACCGTGTTCAAGATTGTTGCAGTCTTTTTCACAAAAGAAAAAGGTTGCTAGGGAGTGATAGCGTCAAATTTTCCTTTCTTATTTATTGATACATATCTGCATGATCGTTTTACCCTATATCAGAACAAAAAGAACACAGGGTCATGTCAACCTATTTAGTTTTGCTCTTTTGTATTGCTGTTATTATTTTCTGCCTTTTATTTCATTTTTTTTTTTGTCTTAGAATGACCTTTAAAGAGTGAGATGTTTGTAACCCAAATATATATAGAAACACAGATGGTTTCAAAATCTTGGCCCTCATTCAATGTGTTACCAAGCAGGTGGCATCAGTTCCGAACAGAGCACGACATTGTTAAAGGGCAATGTCCATACAAAAATTAAGGTGCCTGATGTGATGTCGGCAAATTGGTTTTTAGGAATATTAATAGACATCTGTCGTCTGACACTTGCCGCATTGGGTGTTGGTGTCATGTAATTCTACTGCAGGTGACGATCAGTATTTCTCACCGAATAGCTTTATTTTTCTGAATTAAAACCTGTAAGCAATTGTTGACAGCATTTTAAACTGATTTATTTTGTAAGATTTCATTAAAACTTTTAAGGATAATACACACTTTCTACAAATTCTTCGTTGATAGTAAAATATAGCGCTGTTGGAAAAATATAGCTCTATTTAGAGTTTGTGCAATAAATAGTTTTTTTTAAATTTGACTAAAATAATCGATTGATAGCCCTTGTGTATTCCCACCACGGCCTCTTCGTCAGTCTATACTTATGAGAACTGATCTAATGACAATGAAAAAGTGCACTGTCTTGCGAAACATAGGCCTACTCTTGTCTCATACTCGATCATACCGCATTTAGCCATGAGATCTAAATATAACAATGTCGACATTTCTATAACATTTGCCAGACAAATCAGTCTGTTTTTTGTTTTTGATAAGCATTAACTCGATCTGTATTATCTCATGTAGCCGTTTAGTATTTTTCAATGAGATAGAAATAACAGTAAAATGAGGGGTGGGGGGGTGGAGATATTGAAGAAAATGTCTTCATACACACATTTTTGCACTTGTTTAAGCTTTACTTTCTTGTTGACCTGTATCAGTATCAGATAAATATGAAATCTTTTCTCTATACTGAAAAAAGAACAAAGACTTAATCCCTCCTAGACGATTTTTGTGACGATGGCCGTGCCGCCATTTTAAAGATCGGAATGTTATAAGCCGGTTTGGACAAAAAAATTTTTTAAATCGACTAAATAAGTTCGGTTGATGTGTGTTGTGACCCATTTTCTAATGCCTTTTCTTTCAGATTTCGACTGATAGAGATAACGACCGGTCAAAGTTGAATTAGGCCTAAATGACATTATGTAATGGTTCAACAGTCGCCTTATCTTTTAAAAGTGTTCCTCAAACTGTAGGCATACATTTTCGTGTTTAAGATGTGGCAGTTTAATATGTGACAGATAGTTTTTTTTTTAATTTTAAGCTTAAGTGTGACAGTATGGGAATTCACGCCTATTATGTCCTTCTTACATACTACTCGGTCACACTCGGGAATTTCCCTCGGTAGACCCCAAGGCAGAAAGAGCAAATGTACTTTTTTAGTCAGCAAAATGCTGTCTGTGCTTACTTCCAGAAGGTTCGTCGTGATAAAACGGGTGATGACGCAGCGAGCGCGTGCACGTGTTAGATCAGGTGTGAATGACTCGACCCTTTTCTTATGGAATGATTCACCACTATTTGAAATAGTTGCAAGTTACAGGGGTGTGGTGTAATTTCTTAATAACCAAACTCGGTATGGAAACGATAGATCGTTCTTCTTTTTTTTTTTTTTTTTACGCAGCCTTCATTCACAACGCACAACCCTAATTTTTCATTTTTAATAAATTATTTACTAAGTGTGCTGATCGCCGAGCGTTGAGGATTATCTTCAATAGTTTTCGTATACCAAGATGTAATATCAAATTGCAACCCAGTGATGAGTAACCAAACATTGAATCAAAAGGTCCTGATTAATATGAATGTTGGAAATATGCCAACGATTTGACATGGATATAGCGAAATAATTAACAGAGGGCGTTCCTCCTAAAATTTGAATTGACAACCAAAGCGACCTACATACACATGCCACTGACATTTTTTTTCTTTTTTGCTTTTTTTTTTCAATTTCAAAACGGGGGCGACACTATCTACTTAAATTATCTAGAAATGTACACAGGCTTCACTCTGTCTTCATTAACGTACTTAAGTTTACAAACACCCTGTATCTTGCTCGTTAAAATCGTTAATGAGGAAATGTGCACGCAAATCTTTTCATCCTGAAAACGGTTCTGAAACTTCATCGTATCCGTGTGAAATGTGTGGCAAGAAATCTAGCCTTCATCTCCCTAGACACTGCTGCTTGTAATCTGACATAATCCATCAAAATCTCAGTCCATCCTGTCGTTTTAAGTGTAACATTTATGACGCATTAAATCGTGTGGACCATATAGATAAAGATAATTTATTTTTCAGAAGAGGGTTTTACCTCTGAATTGCACAACGCAGTGGACTGACTGTTGCTGGGCGCCCATTTTTAACTTGCGCTTTAAGAAAAACGTAAACAACGAACGCAAACTTGACAAATAACGATGTACCGTTATCTCTTCTCTACCTGTGTTTTTGTGGTTTTGTCTTAATATGATACAACACGCACGCACCACCACACCTTGTCATTGTGAAAATTTAGCGGTTCGGGCTCCTAAGAAATAATGGGCACAATCACTTATTTTTAGCCATGAAGACCAGTAAGGGTCATCTTGTGTGTCACATGGATGAACTCTACTGAAATGAGCCAGGCATACTTCATTAATCAACACTAGGGTCGCTATCCCAAAATTTTTTGAAATTTGTCGCCTCGACCTTCGTGGTTATTTTCCCATCAGTGATCGCGTGACAAATGTAGGTAGGTTGTGCGGGGTCGTCAACCGTATGCGTAGATTTAAAACTTTCCATTGCGGGCAATCTTCACACACACACACACCAACACACACATACAAGAGCACACACACGTAGGCCTACACACGCTGAATCTTGGTGTTGCGTGGGTTAACCAGCCGTTTGCAAGGAGCGATGCCTAAGCTGAACGGATCAATTGGTAATTATTGCTTATGTCAGCTAAATACAGGTAGCAGTGTAGGTACAGTGTAGGTAGGAGTCGAGTGCGGTACTTTCAGTCTCTTTGTGGGCAGCAGTTAAATACGCAGCTGTTGATTTAATACTAATTATTGTCTGTTCTAAAACTGACCCGGAAGGCGTGGATTTAGACCACAGCGTATATCGTTAATCGAATGAGTGCTTCGACGCAGCCGGCAGATTGTTTGTGTGCGTAGTAACTGCGGCGCACTGAGAGACGAACAAGGTGACGTCATCAGTAAATATTATGGTCCGAGAACCACAGCTACCTTTGGCTGAGTAGTTGTATGACCACAACGGACTGAGCACGAGGGTGACCACTGTCTCTTCTCCGTTCTAGGTATTTACTAAGAGCGAGCCACTGACACAGGTCACTATCGACAACGACTGGATAAGTCTAACACGGATAATTTTTTCACTCTCATGGATGTGAACAACAATACCTTAAGCAGGATGGCTAGCGAAGGAGCAGCAAATTACAACGCCATCGCCCCAAATGCTACTAATGAACGGATTTTTGCGGCTGATTATATTCTCAAACGGCGAATAAGAAAGGTGAGCTCCAGCATATGTGGTTGTTTAGTGAGTTTATGTGTATGTCACTATATATGCCTCGTGTATTATTCTGTGTACTTATCGTTACCGGTAAGCCGGTTAGAACTTGTTTACATAGCGTTTCATTTTGTGAAAGGCGCACGCGTAGGTTATTGATTATGATCGCCTCACTGTTTGAAAAAAATAACCGTTGGCGACGGCGTGCGGTTTCCAAGCTCACGAAAATAAATATCAATATATTGTTTATCATGATAGGCCTATTACATATGAAATTTTTAACCCCCATAAGATGCCATAGCAAGTGCATTAGTGTAACAAGTGTGTAATTTCAGTAATTTCTCGTCCCATAACCTCGCTGTGTGTGTGTGTGTGTGTGTGTGTGTGTGAGGGAGGGGGGGGGCAAAATAGAAGTACGTATAAAAGAAATTTCAAATGGCTTTTTTTGCTTATCTTGTCTTTTTTATTATATAGGGAAAGCCGGAATACATGGTGAAATGGAAAGGCTGGTCAAAGAAGTAAGTCATTAAAGTAGCCTACACTTGCATTAACGCCTCTTCATGCGTGTAGAAACCCCGGGGGCAAAATTACTTTTAAACATGTATCCGATCCGTGAATATTTGTACGTAATACGTAATATAAGTCGTGATACTATACACCGTGCTAAAATTGCTGAGCGTTACACTCAGGGCACTAAAAATAGCCGTATTTGCAATGTTTACCCACGGAGTTACAGATTCGCGTGAAATTTTGCAATAATGGTCGATGAGAAGTCGTTCGTCATATTTGTTTAATCTAGCGACATAATTCGATCCCATTTGAATTGAAGTACACGCGCTGATTGTCTTGAGTACGTAGTGTACTTACAATGACGTAGCCACGTTAAATCGGTTGATTACCAAATAGCCCTAACAGTACTAGTATCAAGTAAACGTGTTTCATCGTTTTGCGTCAGCGAAACCGAAATACCCGAAATACTACACCGTATTTTTCTGATCGCATCCATTGCAGCTCTCAATTATACATAAATGATGGTATCGATCAAGTACTAGTGCTGCTGACCACAACGGCCAAAACCACTGTGTTGGCCAATCTGTACTCTTTTGTAATTAGGGAGCACTAGGACGGGGAGGGGGGCGTCTGTTTACTGCTCAATTCGCACCAACTTGTTGTAACTTGAGGGTGAAGATCGTGTGTACGAAAAGATCGTGTGTAAAAAAAACAAAAAAAAAAAAACAAAAAAAAAAAACAGACGGGGTGAATCATGTCACCGTTTGCATATATGAGCAAAGGACGCCCTATTGTCCCTGCCCTTAATCCCCCCCCCCCCATCTCATCAATGTCCGTACACGAGTGCTGGACTGAGATTCCAAATTATATAAGACGGGATATCGTTTATAAACCTGTGGTGGACTTTTGACGGATACGTAACGTATTGACGTCATCCCGTCATTGTGAGCGTAATATAATGGCCGACTAGGAAAATCTAATTAATGGTGAAGTGGTCACCTCGGCGCTGTCTTCGTGATAAACAACTCGGATTATAACGAGAACTAGAAAGTGGACGGGGTATTATTTCATAGAGAATTAATTTCAAACTGAGGACACTTGCGCAGTAGCATGCTGGAGTCTTGCACATTTTTCAGGTTCTTCATTACTGCTTTTGATTATTCACTGATTATGGAAAAATTGGATTAATTATTGCAGACATAGTGCTCGTTTATTCTTCTAACAAAGAATGTGGTCTTTTTCACAAGCTGGTAATTGCGATGGCCCAAGAATGGTTTTCGCGAAAAAGTTGATCTGCGAAAGATAGCAGAATTTCAAGGTTACTGTTCATGTCATTCGCTGACTAAACCTGGCATTATTAGCGGGTCAGATGGTCAACCTCGGTATTATGGCAATATGGCTTTTGACACATTCAAATACATGACTCAGATGATTCAACAAGCAGCGTGCTTGACTAAGTAGTCTAAGTGGAGCTGGGTAGATTGCGACACAGAAATGCGGGTTACTCACTGGGCTGGGGCCCAATGACACTCGGCGTACCTGGTTGGAAACGCCCGTGGTTTTAAACCCATACCGTCGCAATAGATTAAAATATAGATGACTATGCAAATTGTTCTCGCTTTAACATGCCACCTTGTTATACTTTTGTTATTGCTGTGCTTTCGCGACGAAATATTGTCTGATATGTGTGATTCAGTCTCGGGTGTTGACATTTTCAGCTCGTGAACTTATATCCCATGTTAGTCACTGCGTCGACCCCCCCCCCCCCCCTCCGTTGAGCCCTACGTTAACACACCTAGTGAACCTCGTGATCCATACAAAACACATGTATTGAAAGGTGACCCTAAAAGAACAACACGTGCTGCTGTCAACTGGTGGAGCTATTGACACCCAACACGCGTCACTATTGACGGTGTGCACGAGACAACGTGAAACACGAGGGTGCTTGCGTTGAAAGCATGTGATTTTCCGTCGCAGGCTTTCTGTTATTAGATTGAGATTTAAATCCGTCCACGACTTCACATATGTAAGCCTAGCCTAGTATTTACTGCGGACGGAGATGGCAGAGATGAGTTGGTCATTAATCGAACTCTCAACTTGTTTGTAATCGCGATAAGCTGCCCGAGTAGAGATAACGTTCTTCCGATAGTGCAGTTGGAAGGGGGCTTTGTTCAATACAGTCGCGTTGCCAAATAGGCCTAACACTCTCTCTTTTGCTTTTTCTAGTCATTGAGAAGTTTTGTTAACTATGATACTAAATTATCAAGCTTGTTTGACTTTCAACTAATGCATATAGTGAAGGCGTCAACCGCCAGTAGTAGAGTTGCAACTCCCATAGGTCCCTATTTGGAACCTTGCTGTTATTTCTTGTATTTTTTTACAAAAAATTAAATTCTCTTGGGTTAGAAAAATTACTGACTTTTCTTGCCAGTTTCTACTTCCCGGAAATTCAGCACTTTTCACAATATGGCCATCAATTTGAAACAATTAGAAACAATTAAAATTCATAGTTCATCTTCAAATCAAACGCTATCCCTCATCTGGCGTTGAATTGTATGTTTATTACGCCCAGTATACAGTGATAATCTCAATGAGAGAGAGAGAGACAGAGAGAGAGAGAGAGAGAGAAAGAGAGACACAGATAGAGAGAGAGAGAGAGAGAGAGAGAGAGAGAGAGAGAGATTAGGCATCACGAGAAATAGGTTGGACGTCTTGAAAAATGCAGTCCTGTTTTAAGTCCTCTGCACGCTGGTCTACTTTAGACATCGACACCCTGTTATAGTTGCATTCCAAACTTTACGAAAAAAATCTCGTAAATGTTGACTTGTCGATCAGCTGTTTTGTGTGTGTGTGTGTGCGTGTGCGTGTTAGTCTAGAAACCAGTTTAGAGAGCGTGTGTGTATTATTTCATTGCCACATTTATTTTTTTTAATGTAATATGTATATTTAGTATGAGATGTAGATTTTGTGTGAAATGCATGGGGATTGAGCGTTGCGTTTAAACGTTTTCTGTTAAATCTACATTTATTTTTCTCCCCTGCATAGGCACAGCACTTGGGAGCCCGAGGAAAACATTTTGGACGTCCGTCTGATAGAAGAATACGAAGAGAAGTAAGTTTTCTAAATGTTTATATGCGTTAATCCAGCCTCCTTCATTGGCTTTTGTGTGATGCGTTCATGCAACTTTATAATCACATATATATTAATGTGAGTGTTACTGGGACACATCAGATGCTGGTTGTATCTAGAGATGGTTTTGATATGGGAAGAAGCCCGAGCGTCATCAACCCGCATTGAAAAGCAGTACCCAGTTATATTTCCTTGTACACGCAATGATTACTGGATGATGTATAGCTGATGAACGTATCTGTCACTATTATACGAATGTGGTCATATCTAACAATGAATTCTACGCAACTGTGAAGTGAATAAAATTAATAGTGGCAGGAGAGATTTTCAGAGGGGCACTTTTACTTTAGATATCCAAATTAGTATTAACCTTAAAAGGTCTGTTTTTCTTTTTGTTTGGAGATGTTTGAATATTTGTATTCTCCATCGCCTGTCAACTTATTATAATGTTCACTTTCGCCAAGTATCAAAATTGTGTTCAATTACGTAAATTTATTTCTAATCTTTTCGTAGGGATTTACGTTTTGTACGTGTAATAGAATCAATGTAAACTGCGCAGTAGTTGAAGATGATTTTGTTTATAACTTTCACACGGCATTTTAACCTGTATGATAGCGGCTAACCCGTGAAGGGCATGTCCTTGCCTCGGTATTAATCAAAATGTACTAATGCGTGATTACCAGCTCGGTGGGTTATTTATTTATTTTTTCTTTGCACATCAGTGAGTGCTGTCACTGACATCATGAAGTGTGCTTTATCCTGACCGTTACATCCCATGTATTCACTGGCCGAGGGCGCATGCACTGAATGACGGACTGATTGATTGAGTGATCGATTTAATGACTGACGTAATTCATGGTAAAATTGGGTGCGAGACCTAAACAAACTTTTTATCGCCACAGGAAAAGGGGGAGGGCGCTTTTCAAGGGTCGTGTGTGTGTGTGTGTGTGTGTGTGTGAGTGAGTGAGTGTGTGTGCATTTGTGTGTGCGCGTATGTGTGCACGCGTATGTGTGCACGTTCTTGCTCACCTCAGTAGGCCTAGATATATGTTGCCTTTCAGTCATTTGTAGAACTTGGGGGGGGGGGGGGGCACAGAACAACCTTACTCGAAAGTTGACTTAAAACATTAATCTACTTTTCCGTAATAATCTAAACTATTGCCTGCAAAATATTCCTATTATCCTCATTCAATTTGACTAATGCTGATTTAACTTTATTTCCAAAATGATCGATCTCAAAGTGACTCCAACTCTCCACCTCTTTATTTGTGAAACCAACTTGACTTGGCCTGTTTCATAACTCAGCATCGCCAGGTCCTCGACAGTCTAGATGTTCTTCTCCATCTCTCAGTGCTAATCTAACCACAGTGAGTTTCTTTTGCGGTAATTCCTAGAAAGCGTCTTGAGAATTTTGCTGTGACCAAGGAGGCCTCGACGTAATCAGTGCCGAGTATTCCAAGGGGTTTTGTACTGGTATTCTTGGGCCTTATGAGTGTAATTAAAGCTTTCCTGCCATCACAGGATGTGCAAGTGTGCCGTCTAAAATCACTCACAGGGCTACCCTGCAATCCTCTTAGTTCTTTTATTTTTCGTTATGAAACTTCTTACCTAAGTGAGATATTGATTTTTGTTCCTGATGCGGTTCAGGTGAAACATGGCCTGCATGGAGCCATCGCTCTGGGATCTTACAGCAAATGCCACGCTGTTTGTCTCAAATGGTCACTGTAACAAGGGTTTGGTTTAGACTTCACTTTATACACACTCCTCCCGTCATAATCGTTATTTATCGTCACAAAATACAAATTTATTTTCTGAAAAAAAAAAATATAAGAAATATGAGTACTTCTTTTATGTCCTTTGGATCTCTCTGGATTTGGTATGGGTTGTGAAACTTATCGTCCTTTGTGGTTAGCCATGAATTTGATAAAGCAATTTGTGGTAGATTTGAATCTTGAATGAAGTCATTTTGTTTTCGTTCGACCGAAAGACATGTGAATACAGGGATTACAAAAGCATGCTTAGAACGTGCCTACTAAACTTACGGGTATGCACTTATAACGTGCCAGCTACACAGCCCCGTGCAGCTGCGTGTCGGTCGCACGTGCACCATTCGCTGACCACTTACAGCGACAGTAGCTCTTTTGTCAAACAGCATTTGTTAATCTCACTGGAACTTTAGTTCATATTTACACTTGGACTCTGTACAACTTTGTGTTTCAGGTGGAGGTTAAAAAAAATACTCACATGTGCATATTAATCAATATAATTTATTGAATGTTTTGTTTTTTAGAATACGTCTTGGGCTGAAACCAGGATACAGAAAAGGCCGAGGACGTCCTAAGGCAACGGTAAGAAATAGTAACATTGTATTTATCTTTTACTGACTATTCCATGTATTTCAGCTCACTGCGAAAAGCCTATTTCTTTACGCGCATTGTATTTTCTTACTTTCGCTAAAGATAAATGACTAAAATTAAGCGGATTCTATACAAAGACTAGCGACCTACCAACGTAAAGATTAATTCATCTCTTAGCCGAGGGCTGACGATGCGGTTGTATTGACGTCATTGCCTTAAAGACCGACACTTTTTTTTCAATATTGAACGCCTTTCGTGTTATAGTTAAATTAAGCTGATTATGTCAACACAGAACTTTGTTCAACTTTGGTTCCGGATGAGGTATTTTTAGAAAGTACAGTCGTACTCTCTTCCTGAGCCGATGGCTTGACCCAAAACAACTGGCAAGATAACTCAATAGGCCCGATGATCACGCATACTGGTTTGTGTCAGTTCTGTCGGGCATGGTTGCCGTTCAAATAGAAAGCACGGTTCAAATTATATGTCCGGTGACGCATCTGATCGATAGTTTTATCGAAGAACGCTCAGAATCACGGAAATTGGTGAACTGACCCATAAGCGTTTACATAATTGTTGACGTTGAAGCGATTTAGCACGAGCCAGTTATCCAAGGTTAACTTCTCCGTAGGAGCTTTAAGTTTGACAATCAATACATTTCTACAGAACAGGGAGAAATCGAGGGAAAAAAACTGGCCACTATAAGAGTACTATTACGTACACTCTGCGCGGTGAAAAGGTTAATGTGTTGTTCCCTTAACCTTGATAGAACTGTGCATGAAAACACTTGGGATCGTAAACAGGCACGCGTACCTGGGGTTCGGGTCCCCGGGCGGTCCGGAGTACCGTGCTTCGTAAACAAAAAATATCCGTGCAAGAATTTGTGGAATTTTGGTGGTTGCTGTTAGTATATATATATATATATATACAACGTTTTCTTGGAAATTGAACAAATTATAAGCTAACAACAAATTTCATACTTGAAAGTGTGGATTTTGAGTGACACCGGTATTCTGTTTTCGTGGTTATTAAACGCTTTGCGGTCTAGACACTGCAGCTTTTGCTTTACGACCTTGGGTTGTTTACGATAGTAAATTATACGAAATCGATCATGAAAAAAATCAAATTATTCGAGGGTTTGCCAGTCTTTCGCTAACACAAAAGTATGAGTACTGTGGTTGCCCAAATATAATTAGTGTGTCTCTTTGTAATATCGTTCTTAAACTAAAAATAAGTTTAGGTATTTACAAGGACATCAACAATCTATGGCACGTATGTGATTATGAAATCTGTAAATATGGAAAAGTTTGTGAAATTAAAACTGACAAACTGTCCTCCAGATCCATCATGACAAGAAAGCTATATCTATTTTATTTTTTACAGGTCTTGGCCGTTCCTGTTCGTCCAGTACCATACCCAACCCTGCACGTAAATCTGCCACCGAGACCTACAGCACGTGTCGCGAGACCCTCACAGCTCCCTCTCATTCACGCACCAAAGAAGCGCTTATTGAATATCTACAACCTCCAAGCCTCGCAAATGGAGACACACGAGCAGACGACCACGCCAGAAGAGGCCAGGGACGAAAGGAGATCCTTCGGTGACAACGTCGAGCCCCAGATGAACGATTGCTTTAAAAGTAGAATCTCTATTTTCCACGAGGAAAAATCCAACGCGGCGATCGCTGCAGACGACAGAACCTATGCCTGGGTGGCGGGAACTGGAGAATGGGGCCATGATCACACCACGGAAAATCAGCTGGGTTACAGTGTCCGTGATTCGTACAGTGGACGATGGTCCCCGCAAGATCCCAACCTCCTTACCCCGCCCACATCGGAAAGCCCCGCCTCCTCCGTCAATGGACATGAAGATGACGATGTATTTGCATTCCAAGCCAATGACTGGACCTCCCAAGCCAAGAGGGCCATGGAACTGGACGTAACTGTCACGGACGTTACTTGCAATGCGCTTACGGTTACGTTTTTGGAAAGCCCTACAAGTGAAGGATTTTTCAAAGACGGCACAAAAATGTCTTGAACAGTGACACTAAATGATTGACGTTAGTTATGACGTTAGACGTAATGTTCAAGCGCCTTTTGGATAAGGCGTATATTCAAATACGCACAATACTGAAAAAAGAAAATCGATGCACAAAACGCAGATTTTCAGAAAGATGCTCGCTGGTGTCTGTCGATACTAGGAGAACACATAAAACAATATTTTGAAAAAAAAAGACAATTTTCAATTTTTTGTTTTTTTAATATTGCGGGGTCATTAACATTGTACATATGTTTCGTAAGTAAGGAAAAAAGAGAGGTTTAGATAAACTATATTAGATTGCGTTAATAAGAGGTGTATGGCAGCTATCAATAAAATTGTCAAAAAGTGGGCATTGTTATTGTTACTGTTACATAGAATTTGCCAGGACTGCGTGTAAAACGCAATTGTTTTATTTTGCAGAGAAATATCACCATTATTCTATAGATGCTTTCTTCGATCATCAGTAGGTAAAATATCAGTTCAAGTTTCATGAAAATTGAAGACAATATTAGCTCCTAGTAGCTCTTTTAGAAGGAATTAATAGTAGGAAAATGTCTTGTTGCTCTCACCGTCGAAGGTTTTTGGGCCTCCCGTCTTAATGATATAATCACGTAAATAAAAAAAAACTTCAAAAGACAGACTAAACTACAGAGTCTGAAATAAAAATTCATTAAAGGTACACTCCATGGGTTTGAAATCCCCAAAATGCTAATTTTTGCCATCTACAACTTCTTCTAAAACCTTACAAATACCTTAAAAATGATTTAACCCATTCAATACTTTTTATGGAGCGTACCTGATGTTGGCATTTCAATTGGAGCCTAAAGGACCGGGGAAAATCCATTTTGGCGGGTAAATCTCATGGAGTGTACCTTTAACTGATCGCCTTGAAATAAAACTTATATTGTAATATGTAATAATGACCAGTTTCCAATAGTCTCTGAAATTCTGATAGATCATTGGGCATTTTACACCAAAGAGCCATCATACAATAACGTGTAGATTCTAAAATCCGTCAAGGGACAAGACCACGTCACCTCGGCGCTTACGCATTGGATCTTAGTGATAAACGAGTTGTTTACCGCCATTATGGTGCGGACTTGTCTATTATGGATTGATTGTATGACATGCCGCGTGTATTTATAGTATATATACGCCAAATTAAACAGACAGCATCAAAGAGATCGAATGAAGTTGGCTGGAACTGTTTTCGTCCAAACTGTGATGTCAGGTGCGACTTCCCTCCACGCTTATTTTGATTAAGGCGGATTTGCAGAAAAAGCGTCGACGCGCGTCACCGTGTTAATGACGCCCGCAGCAGATCTGTTATGACAAGCAGACGCAATACATGCGCTCTTCAACTCGTGCGTAAGTCACATATTGATAATAGTGATGAAATGTAAAACATAATAAAGACAGGCTATATATATATTTAACAACAAAGAGGGTCTAAAATAAAAAAAAGATAAACGGGGCTTTTGTGAAGGCGCCTTATCGTATTTTCCTGGGTACATGTAAAAGGTGATATAAAATGTCCCAAGGGTTGTATTCCCTGCTCTGGAGCAATCTGACAAGAGCTCCCGTGAAAACACGAGAATTTGATCAAAATTAAGATATAAAGACCATGTTTCAGGAGAATATTTTCAAACCATTTTGATATGTTTTACTAGACCTTCTCAATACTTCACTCTGTGAGGAAGGGGTTAAGAAGCATTCTTTTTTTCCTTGGGGGAGGGGGGGTTGCCTGTGGGTTGTCAGAGAAGTCATATACATTTTCTTACAATTAAGATTGCCTGGAAGTTCTATATGCACAAGGGTGCTAATTTTTCATTAAACACTGATTATCGTCATTGCCATAAAATTCTCAGAAACTAAAATGCAAGCGTGAGAAAGTCATTACCGTTTTTAATACAATGGCATGTTGAGAACATATCGTCTGTGAAACTCTAGCACAACGATAATCGGATATTTATTTCATACCTGTTGTTTCCCCCTGGTAAATCGTCGCGTGATCAGTAAAAAAATCTACGAGTCTTCTCTTGTGATTATTTCTCCCCTGGATAACAAAAATCTACGTGCACACCAACACCTGCTTTTATTTCATTAATGGGCTGAAAGAGAAGGACAGTAAATCTCCACTTTTAGGCCTATAGGCCTATCAGTTGCCTCAGGTACTGCTTGCAAAAACACGCTTGTTGACGGGTTCTTACCCTACGTCTTCCTTAACTAGTGAATATGCAAAACAAGTAGCCTTTTAAAATGGTTTAATTTTTGAAAGTAATACTTGTGTAAGCGAGAACTGGGAAGGAACCTGGGACAGAAGGATTGCAACAGTCCGAGGGTTAATTGGTATGAATGTTCACTACAAAACCTTCAAAACAAAGAAACCCTTTTATTAAAAAACTGATGAAATAGTACTAATGCATTCTGGACTATAGAAATGCACCCCCTGGAACAAGGGTTAGGCCTACTAAATTAGGAGGCCCAGCATCAAACAAAATCTAAGCGGATACGGGGGTACTAGGATCTTGAATCCATACTCCTTCAATCCCCCTTTCCAGAAAAAAAGCAGCTTTACCTCCCGTCAGTATAAGAGGGAGATAGATTACGCACACAATCACATCACTAATCTCATTCCTGTTCGTGTTGTATTTTTTGTTTACGAGCAACATAGGTCTACATCACCCTGTGCTTCAGAGATAACTTGCCACTACTTGACACGATGAAGATAGGCTATAGTGAAGAGGTTAGTGGCAAGTTATCTCTGAAGCTCAGGGTGCTCTACATGTCCGTGGGAAACAGTATTTTGTTAATACCGACTCAAACAAAAACATAAAAAAGTGCTAAATATGTAGGCCTATAAATGCAGGTCGTAAAATAAAGGACTTGTACGGGACTTGTCAACTATGCTTCAACACATTCGGAAAACGAATTTTAATTTTAAAAAAATCATTGCGATAGATGCGACAGATCATAAACAACTCGTCACAATGGCATTACGTGGTTGTGACCATCACAACTGCATAGTGGTTCGAAAAAGCAGAATCCACGTGGAAAGGATAAAGCTTAGATGCCTGAGATGAAATACATCTAGCTGCTAACTGTAAGGATTTCACCAGATTTCACCACATCCAGTACAGGTATCTGCTGAGCAAAGTGACAGGTTTAGTGGGTGAAAGTCGACAGTTCTGACTCTAAATGCCTTAAATTTAAATGACTGTTGCCGTGCATGTCGGCTCAACTGCAGGTAGTGAGTTTTGTTCCGGCTTGAAGTAAGTATTCGTGACTTTACAGTCCCAGAAGAAAGGCTTAAGCACCATTCGGTTAACTACAGGGGTAAACCATCAGCAGTGCGTAGTACATAAGTACATTTATACAGGCCCGTAGCCAGCAATTTTAAAAGGGGGGTTCTTTTTCTGAAAAAGTGGACCTTTTTCCATAAAAAACTTCAAGTACCTAGAGCAATTTTACCCAGAGTGGACCTTTTCCCAGCAAAAGGGGCGGTTCTTTCGAACCCCCCGAACCCCCCCTGGCTACGGGCCTGTTTATAGATAAATAACGTTTAATATTGATAAATATCGGCGCCATTGCTATCTTAATTCCTCTGTCTCGATGTCGATGGTCGAACATTAGAACATGTGCTTAGAGAGACATGGTATAAAACTACAATATTGTTTTTTAACATTTCCAGATGACTTTACATTGTTAGAAATTGCCATTTGTACCGGTACATGTCGTTACACTCCGTCAGGGACGACTGCATTTGCACTGTTACTGTGAATCTATCATTTGAAGCGAATGTTGACCTTCATAGATTTCACGTTAGTCAGCCAGGCACAAGCACTGAAACAGTGGCAGGCTCTCTTCAAGGTTGAATGATCTCGTATTGAAGGCGTGTTACCCACTTTTTTATCTTGTGGAAAATCCAGTTTGGATGAATTTTTAAAAAAATTACAAAGTGTAAATGTGCTTGTCTAAAGAAGGGGTGGGTGGGCATGCCACCTCGCCCCAAAACGACCAAAACGGCAGTTAAGCAAAATTAAATAAAGGTAAACAAGATAAAACCAAACATATTTTCCACCCCTATGAACTACATATTGCAAAATTTCCAGACCAACTATTTTATAATTTATGTTTAAATGGATGGACCCAAGATTTTGCAGGGGGGGGGGGGGGTAGCTAGAGACAAAAGGGGGAAAATATTTATGCAGTGTTATAGGCTCTTTAACAAAGATTATTAGCAGATACAGGTAAATGGATAGGACAAATATTTAACACTAATCATTTGTGTTTTAACATTACCTTATCCACAAATTTTCTTGTGCCTCTCTAGCATCCCCCACCCCCCTTAACAAAATCTTAAAGCCATACCTAAGTGATTTGCCAGAAAATATTTGGCAAAATGAAAAATATGCCTTCATGGTCCCAGAAAAAATAGAGTTAAAACTGAAACAATGATACTGAAGTTAAACAAAGATTTAGAGCTGTGTACATGTACAGTGTAGTTTCCCCCCCATTCATAGGGGATGTCAAGCTGGATTGTGATGTTTTGTAGATATAACGAGTAGCAGGGGTAAATGTAGCATAGGCAAATTTAGTAGGGATAAGCCAGGTATATTCAGTTTCCAAATGGTCAATTAATACTGATGCATTTGTTTGTTCATGGTAATTGCATTTAAGTCATTTGTTAAGAACACTGCTTAGTGCTGAATGATAAGAAGGTTAATAAAGTGTTCCACAACAAAACTTTGACATTCTGATAACAGGGTAGAAAATTTCTGTACTCAATTTTTTGCTCCTTTTCAGATAAGGCTTAGCGTGTGTCTGACTTGATGCCATTGATTAGATTTTGACACTTGACCAGAGGAGAGATTTGAATGCGTTTTCTGCTGCACTCAAGGTAAGACAACTTGCATTAAAATTGGTCCCATGTTGATTGGCTGTGCATTGAATAATTATGCTTGACTCTCACATTTATGATGATAATAATAATAATAATAATTTATTGAGCTCTTAATAATACATGATATATCTGTAGCCACAGTTAAAGATGCAATTGAAGCAAGTATACATGTCATATCTTTGCCATAAACCCAACCAAATGCCACCATATAGTTCCAAGTAGCATAACTTAAATATGTAAAGGGTATTGTTTCACATTTCTCCAAAATTTATATTTGAGTTGTGGGAGATACTGGTAGTAAGGTGAATTGATATATATGTGTAATGGGGAGTCTGCCTTCTATTCATATGTAACTTAAATGTTAACTACACATTAGAAATAGACGCAATTAAAGCTGTTCCAGACATATGATTTTGATAAATAATTGTCAGATTTGTCTCTTTTTAAGATGAGTTCAAAAACAAAAAGACAGCAGTCAGAAGAAGAACTTGAGTTTGAGTTTGATATCAACCATGTCCAGTTCAACAACACTGGGAGATTTTACCTGAAGTTAACTCTACAAAGCACAGCTGATGCTGAGCTGAGTCAAGTCCAACTCAGGAAAAATGGGAAGGCGGACATACTACGGAGTAACGAAGCCTTCACTGATGTAATATCGCAGTCTGGCCTGAATCAGCTCTACGAATTTACCAACAGAAATTACACTTTTATGTTCCCAAAAGGTACAAAGAAAAACCTGAAATTACTTTTGGTACCACTTTTATTGTTAAAAGTAAAGTAAAGAAAAAAAAACTGATTAAAGTGTGTTCAAATAGCTCTTATGTACTACTAATGCATATATGAAGTCCTTAATATAACTCAGCTATGTTAATCTGAAATTGTCACATATTTACAAATGATTTCTCTGTCCTTTGATTTAAAATTAAGTAAGAATACTATAGTCTAGTTTATGACACTGGTTAGATCAACATTACTGACCTTTGTTTAGCAAGGGTTTTTATATCAATTAAGTTATGTGTTAGTTAATTAACATAATTGCTGTTTCAATATTCCAGGTTTCTGTACCTCTAGAAGTGAAGTGTTTCTGTTGGTGGAAGCTTTTCATTGCCCTGACAGAAATGATGACCTGGGGAAGAAGGTTGGAGATGCCAAACTGGTCATCTACCCGAGGCCAGAGCTTTGGTCAGATGGCCGTGCCAAAAGTGGTCCTCTCAGAGGGGAGATATACTCCATTACAGATGTATTGAATCTTGTGAAGACACTCAGCACTGAGAAAATTCCAGTTCACTGTGGAAGACTGAAATGCACTGCCACTCTCAGAGGGGATTCTTCCCCTGTAGGTGGGCCTGTTGGCTCCCCAAGACCACACAAGGTGATGGGTGGACAGCCGGACACCAGCAAAATGTCTCCAGCAAGACAAGAGGCAGGCAGGATGTCATACTTTAAGGAAGATACTGCTGATAGCTTCATCACCCCTGGGGACAATGACTGGGTGGTTTTCCCCTCTCCCCCACCCACAGGACTTAGGAAACCTTTGAATGCTGAGGTTATTGATATAGAATGTGAAACTTTCATTGTACAAACATAATTTTTTTAAAAGTATTTATTTATTTATTTATTTATTTATTTATTTATTTATTTATTTACGCTGTTTCTAGTCCGTTTTGCAATCATGACTATGACTTATGAACATAATAATATGAATTTCAAAGTTAATTCAATATTTTATTGTCTTGTGTGAATGTTTTAATCATAAATACATTTTGAAAGTTTAAAAAATCACAGGTACTTTGCTTCGTTAATTTGAAAGGTCGTGGAGTCCCCTTTGAAGGATGGCAGACTAGAGACAAGACAACGAGGTCAAAGTTTGTGGAACCATGTCGCTAAACCTGGAAAAGAACAGATTCTTTTGATTATACATGGTGCCAACAGTTTGCCCTCGAACAAAGATGGAAGAATTCCATCTCCATATGTGACAGTGTGAGCTATCAAAATTTTTGATCAATCTTGAATAAACAAATATGCAAATGAAAAAAATCAGAAAAAGTAACACAGTTTGTATGATTTCATTGCTGCATTTATAATGAACATTTTTACCCATTGATACAATATTTACATTTATTTACTCTATTTATTGCTATCAGTAAAACTCAAAGTGACCAAGAGCATGGAAGAAAAGCCCAGGGCGTGACCCACCCCAGCATACCTCCCACCCACTCCCCATCATGGGAGGAGGCTGTCACGGTGGAGTATGATGCTGCAGTTAGCAAAAAAGAGGGTGAGATGTGTGAAGAGTTACTGTGAAGTGGACAACTGAAAAATTAATGAACTATGAACAAAAAAAAAAAAAAATGAAAGGGAGGATTAGATTGAGAGGCAGACAACATAAAGTTTGAGACAAAAAAGGGGAATTTTTTTCTTAAGTATTGACAAAATTTTTTAGCATGGAAGATATTAAAAAATTTAATGAGTTAAGATGGTATCTCAGCATTCCTTCTTTTCATTATGTTTGTCAGTGGTGAAAATATTTGCCATTTTGTTTCATTAAGTCCTGATTGTGACAGTGGCAGATAATCCATCAAAGCAGACCCTTGTTTCCTGTCGTTTGCCAATCTTCTATCTGCAGCCTTTCCATCCGTATCACTTAGAAATGGTCATGGTGAGAAAACTTTTATAAGATCTGCTCATAATGGTGATTGAATTATTATCGCACATTTTCTTTGCATTATTTCTATTATTTAATGCTTTTGGGAAATGTTTTTAATTAATCAAAACAACAAGAACCAAACATATTATAGAATTAATATAAATTATCAAGTATTATATAATACCATATCATATTGGAATGAACATTTTCCATACAAACACAGTTTTCGTATCCAAGTTTTGTCGATGAACCAGTTTAAATGTGCTATGTAAAATTATCCATTTTATAACTGAAATGCACTTTTTATATATGTACTCACTGTATATAGTTTAAGTTATAAAGTGAAACTTGTTTTCAAAAACTGAAGCCCTGCAGAGATATTCCCAGTGGTTCCAGATTATTTGTGTCCTTGATGAGGAAATCCAGCACTCTCCCCAGGGATATGTCTTCACCTAACTATTGTGCCCTGGAGGTGGGTGTGGCTTTTAGTTTCACTTCCACTTTGCATTTTATTTATGCTTTTATTTTTAAAAGTTTTGAAAGTTGAAGTTTAGTCTATGGGTGTTAATTTAAATGAACTTTTAATTATGGACTTTAACGTTAAAGAAAAAAAAAACAATGAAATGACTAGTTAAGTAAAACAAATAAAGAAAAGTGATATTTTGCGATGATTTGGTATGTTTTAATTATTTGAGGACAAAACCAAACAAAACCTAGTTGACTATAGGTTTGAATCAGACTGCTGCATGATGTGTGCCAAAATTTTGATCCCCACCCCCCACCCCTCATTCCTTTTTAAAAACCCCAAACTACAAACAACATTTTTCAGGTACTTCTGAGATCAGTCCACCAGCCCTTTGTAAACTCCAGAGGTTCTGTGATAGCTGTTGCGAGGGTGGTGCCTGACTATCATCATTACAAGTACGTGGACAGTAGCATTATGCCTTATTGTTTGATGTTGTTTTTCCTTTTAAATTGTCTTTCACCAAACGATGTGTCTTGGATGGATCTTTTGTGCTTATGAACATTTACCAGCAATCAAGGAGGAAGCAGCATGCCCATTTTAAGCATCATTCTACTTACTGGATCTCTGTCTTGTTAAGTGTATCATCATTTTATCTTAGCTTAACTAATCACACACAGTAACCAAGTGAAGGGATTTTTATTTAACATTAGGTGTTGTGTCATGATGCTTTCACTCACACTAACATGCAGCAACTTTAACATTTACAACATTACAAAATGGTTGATGCTTCCCTTCTTAGTTCATATTTTTATTTATAAAATTTGACTACATACCACCTATGATTTAAACATTGAAGATATAACTCATTTTAGAATTTATTTTTACAAAATTTTTCCATCATTTCAGGCAAAAATACTTTTTAAAGAATCTCAGCATGATCAGATAATTTTTACGAAAGTTGTTACATTTACTAGATTAAACCTGTTTAGGTTAAAATGAAGCAATGTGAATGTTTTTTTCTGGCAGGTGTCAGAACTTTAACTTTCACACTTTTCCCAGCTTTACTCTGTAGTTGAAACTTTGACCATTTCAGACAGTCCAGTTTGTCCAGTTTCCCCAGGACAGCAGGGATCACTCTTAGTACAGTGTCATTTCCTTCACCTCACCCTTCTTCGTTTTCTATTGCTCCACACCAGTCACAGGGGTACCCACAGGTGAGGAGTTGCCAAAGATAAAAAATTCTCATTGATTTCATTCCATTTGATACAGTGTACAACTAATTAAATAAAAAAATTTTCTGCTATGCAGATACCATAATGGATTGTTTAATATTTTTGAAATAGTGAATTTTTTCAGTTAAATATTTTCAGTATATTTTTTGTATAGAATTATAAAAAGTATATTCATTTTTCCCTTACAATTTTTTATTACTAATCATATAAACTCTTAATGACTTTCTCTGCTAGGTGTCACTTCCCGGCTATCCCCAAGAAAAGCCCGTATGGAATCATCCATTTCTGTTCAACAATGTCCGGGACAATGCCACTCTCTTCACTCCTGGTGCTGCGCTAGTAATTGAGTTTTACTTTGCTTCCATGGGTAAATTGTCATTAATCTTTATATTTAATTTGATACTTTTTATTATTGCAACAGAAAATTGTCAGACTAATGGTTTGTTTGAAATTTGTTTTGACTATTACATGTAGGGCTTGGCATACTGTAATTATATTTAGCCAAATTTTAAACAAATTTTAATTTGGTCACAGAAAATGAAAAAAATATAGTATGCATTTATTTGGCCAAAGTTATTTTTAATTTAGATGAATTCAATTTAATTTTTGGAACCAACCATGTTTGTGGTAGAGATCATAATGGTATAAAAAATACATTAACCATTACCATATATCAGAATTGTATTTTGGCTATAGACATACATAAATCTGCCCATACACCAAGCACACCCTGTGTTTAAGAGGATTCTCCGGAAACTCGCCTCTATGATCAGCCTGTAGAGTAGGGTTTCCATTGACCTCTGACACTCAGGGTGTTTGTGGTCTGTTCCAGCACTGAATGAGGTGACATGGAGGGTGCGTAGTCCAGTGGGGTTTGCCACGTTGCTGCTGGACCAGCATGTCTACAAGCAGCTGTCAACTGAGAGGGCTGGGATGGGGCTCAGGGTGGAAGGACTGGTGATACAGGTTTGTGTGTAAAAACCCCTTTACGCTGGAGGGCAGGGATCTTAATTTGCTGTCCCTTTTCTGTCCTTTGTGTGACCATGAAACTGGCATCGCTGTGGTCGTAGAAAGAAGGCACAAGCATCGCTTTGGCTACAAAATGAATGCTCAATGATCAGCTTATTGTTGGCATGTTAAGTTGTTTTTTTTTACTCTCAAATGGGCTGTACTACAGGAGGCAGAAAGGATGCTGTCCAGTGTAAAAGGGGCTTAATGGAGTAATTTAATGGTTATCTGGTGTGGTTATTATTATGCTGGCTTGAGCATGATTTTATTGAGTTGAGTCTCGCCATTTCCTTTGCCTTTTCAGTGTTTTTTTTTATGCTTCCATTGCAAAATAGATAATTTTGAGATTGTAGAAAATAAACACTTTATAGCATACATGAGTAACAACTCTTTCTGAAAATGGTTAAAAATGTTGAAATTCATAAAAAATTTAATCCAAGATATTTGAAGTCATATCTCATTGTTTATTGTTTAAGGGTTCAACATTGAACACTTTTGATGGAAAAATGCCTGCAATAAATCTTCTGCTGAGATTGATCACCAACGAGGTACGTAGGTTATTTGCCTGGTCCATTCTTTGTAATCTGTGTTGTTGTTTAAATGATTAAAATGTCCATTTTTACTATTCAGAAAGTATTTCATTGAAATTACTGTACATGCCCCACAACAATATAACATCTTTAAAAGGTAGAATAATTTCATCATCAATTAATTTAATTTACAGGTGAATATTAAAAGAATGGGGAAAATTCTCTCCATGATATGCACCAGAATGGAAAATGATTTTTTTTCCTTCAGAGACCGGATTCCTTGGTATCAGCAACAAACCCAGACATCCTCCCAATGTTGGACTTAACTCATTCCCATTCAGACTCTGAAACAGTCCATGAACCAAAAGCAGAGATTTTAACAGTGGATCATGATGTAAATGACACTTTGGGGGAGTATTTCCACCAGGAGGAGCCCAGTATACAAGACAGGCCAACAACAGTGGGGCAAGAACAAGAAGATGACAGTGACTCAGAGATGGAGCCAGTTCTAGAACCCACCCTCACACTCCAAAGGAAGAAAAAAAAGCCACTGTCTGTGAGTGGTGTAATCCTCTCTTCCTTTTAATATTTTTAGAAGTTTAAAGGAAGAAAAAAGCCACTGTCTGTAAGTGGTGTAATCCTTTCTTCCTTTTAATATTTTTGAAAGGTTTAAAGGAAGAAAAAAGCCACTGTCTGTAAGTGGTGTAATCCTTTCTTCCTTTTAATATTTTTGAAAGGTTTAAAGGAAGAAAAAAGCCACTGTCTGTAAGTGGTGTAATCCTTTCTTCCTTTTAATATTTTTGAAAGGTTTAAAGGAAGAAAAAAGCCACTGTCTGTAAGTGGTGTAATCCTTTCTTCCTTTTAATATTTTTGAAAGGTTTAAAGGAAGAAAAAAGCCACTGTCTGTAAGTGGTGTAATCCTTTCTTCCTTTTAATATTTTTGAAAGGTTTAAAGGAAGAAAAAAGCCACTGTCTGTAAGTGGTGTAATCCTTTCTTCCTTTTAATATTTTTGAAAGGTTTAAAGGAAGAAAAAAGCCACTGTCTGTAAGTGGTGTAATCCTTTCTTCCTTTTAATATTTTTGAAAGGTTTAAAGGAAGAAAAAAGCCACTGTTTGTGAGTGGTGTAATCCTTTCTTCCTTTTAATATTTTTGAAAGGTTTAAAGGAAGAAAAAAGCCACTGTCTGTGAGTGGTGTAATCCTTTTAATATTTTTGAAAGATTTATAGATTAAAGGTCCTTTTATTCCTGAATATTTGTGATGAAAAATCTGTCCTTATACCTGATTTTTGTTTTAATGTCTTTTCCACTTCAATGTATTCTAAATGTTTAAACAAATATTTTTTTCTTTCTGAATAATTATGATGACAAAAATATTTCCCATTTGTGTATTTCTGGTTTTACTGATACAGGTATAGTTTTTCATGTTGATTATTTTTTTATTTTTCACAATAGTCAGACGTACATCTAAGAAATAAACATGAATTAATAAATAATCATACCCACCACTGACCAACATACATGTAGTACATGTACACGGTATATCACATGAGTAATGAAGGTTTTCTTCATGGTAATTTAGCTGGAAAGACTGAGTCAGGCCTTAAGGAGTTTGCAGGTTTGCTGTGGTCTATTCATAGAAATCATGTTTGTGGTCTGCATTCACTTTGCCCAGGTGATAGAGATAAGGAAATAATAACTTTTCTTTGATATTTCACTTCACCTTGGTATAGTTAGTTACAAACTCTTCTTCTGTTGCCAGTGCTAATGGTGTTTACACAAACTTACTCTGTGTATTTTGTTTGATGCTGTGGATGGTAACTAAAACATGATGATATGCATGTCTTTTCATATAGAGCAGGATTTAGCTTAAAATTTAAACCCAATATCTTCCAGGAGTTTGCATTTCCCCCTATGCCAAAGTTTTGACCAATCAAACCAGGTGTGAGTAACGGAAGGGCCAATCAAAGCCAGAGTTTTGCACCTCTCACGGTGATAACTGTATTTGTTTACTCAGCCTTGCCGCTCTAGCTGATAGTCGTCAGGTACACTAAAGCCTACCCAAACATTACACACAAATGACGGAGCCCTGCTTTATTCAGTGCAGAATAGCTTGACCTTTAAAATTTATTTGGGGTTACTCAGATTTCACTGTAAGGAGGGCAAAGTGCTCTGGGATGTAATTTGCTCAAAATGGCGGTCTCCTTTAAAGAATTTGTGGCCTGCTCTAGGAAAGTTTGACAAGTGTTGATGTGTATGGTTTTTGGCTGAGCAGACACCACCACCATGGCGACTATGTACTATAGGCCATATACTTCACAGGTAATTCCTTTATTTGTCTAGACTGTACTATGTAGGGGCTGTCATCAGGTTGGGCTTCATGCACCTATACTACAGTAGCCTAGTGTTGGAAATAAGTCTAGTTATTAGTTTGAGTGCAGCTGTTTAAGTATTTTTAGTCATTTATTTATTTCTATGTTTGCCAGTATTTGAGTTTTGTTACATGTTGTATGCACAGTGTATTACAATGTACATGTGCATGTACATGTAATACATGTACATTCATGTTCTTGCATAGCTGCACCAGCTAGTACATGTACATGTATATATACCACATAATATAATACTACTACATGTATCATTGAATACTTAATCAGATCTTGTTTATGCAATCAGTTTTATGAACTAATACACTGCTCAGTGATAATTTAAAAGAGAGGTAAGCAACGTGTGTGTGTGCGCTTGCATGCTTAAAAGAAATATCAGAATTAGACTCACACAATAATGGAAAAACAAACATATTTCAGGTTTTTATCCTAAATTTGATTACTGATCTGGAGTACTGTGCAAGTGATAATCTCAGCATAATCATCAATCATCAATCATATTTTTTCACAAATATTTGTTTTATACTGTCAGTTGTCTTAAACCCATGCAGATCCCTCCCTCAGTAAATGGAAAGTCTTTGTGATTACTCACTGACCCACTGCTTGAGTGTTTACAGAGACGGTGAGAGTAATTTCTTCACATCGCAATCAATAAATTTCCCCGTTTCAAAGATATTTAGTACTTTTAGTCGCTTACTAATATTTTATTGGTTGAAGTAAACTTGTGTGTTTGTGCAGAAATAATACTGTTAGCAGACATGTAATTTGGGTCAAAGAGAATTTTATGGTAATGAAAAACTAATTGAAAATGTTTGTTATGTTTCTGTGTAATTCCATCTAAAGTTGTACTAAAGAAAATGCTTTTGATTGAGCTTTAAAGTACTCATCAGATAAAAAAGAATGTAGATCGATTTTACCATGCCATGCACATGGTAATTTCCCTATAGTAACCCAGCATAAACTGTGACATTTTTATCCAGTCATAATTGAAAAAATTATCAGTGTTAATTAAAGTTATGCTGTATTGCCCTCGCCACATTTTATCACACTTATAACAAAATATACAATTAACTTATAACAAGAATGCTTCAATCCCAGTTGGCTTCCCAACCCTCATGGGGGGTTTTGTTAATCAGAATCTTTTATGGCAGGTAATTGTAATTATGATCTGTATGTACTGCTTGCAGCTCTGCAATAATATAAATGTGATGGAATACATCTGTTCAATTGCAAAGGCGGAAATCCTCCAGAGAACTCGACAGCCAACTCGACCCACATTCACTGAATCAGATTGTAGTATTGGACAGCTCAATTCATCATGCATGGCTGTTTTAATTGTTGTCCGTGATCATGTATCATGTTACTGTCAAGATCTAACATGTAGCATACATGTGGATGTCTAAATGCATATTAGCAGTATGGATTGTAAACTTCAGAGCTTTCAGTTCTGTTTTATATTCTTTCGGTGTTGGAATGTGGTATCTTGACTGCAATTCTCCATGTTGTCAGGATTTTGTAACTTGGAAACAAAAGAATGTAAATTGTGCTTTTTTTTCTTCTATGCCAGCAATTTTGTTCAAAATGGTCTGTTATAACTTATCAGACAGTGAATATGAGAAAGCACTAAAAAGCAGAATTAGTTCCTGATGGAGATGAAAAATGAAAGAAGCGTGAAAGCCACATTTGAAGTAATCTGGGTCTTTAAGTTGTATGCTGTAAGGGAATTGTAAATGCATGTTACATGACTTTTGTACACTGAAATTCAAACCACCTACATGATAAATAAGATCAGAACAGACAAAATGAATGCTTTGACCTTGGATGCTTACATATATGAAAAAAAAAACAGTATAACAGTTACTGTAAAATGGTTAAATTCCTCCGTTTCAGCCTCTCCAAGATGGAGAATTTCCTGATTACAATGCAATGACGGCTGTGCTTCCAGAGTACCAGTACATCTTCACTGACGCTGATGATAAAGATGCCAAGGCTGGGAAATCCAGGAAACCAGAGGGAAATAAAGAAAGGTGGCCTTTTATTTTAGAATTTGTTAGAAATTAGAAGTTGAATAATTATATCTAAAATGTGTAATAATAATTAATAATTACGTAAATTTGCAATTTGTACCAGAGGTCTTACATAATTTAGATAGAAATGTACTTTGGAATATTTCAAACTTGTAAAATGCAACTGAAAATGGCTGAAGCCAAATAAGTGATATTTGACTGCTTTATAGGCAAAGTGATGACTTGGAGAAAACATCCATGGCTTTGCTGGACCATCAAATGAAAGAGCTAGAAAATTACCGGGCAGCTATTCACAAGATGGGCGACGACATTCTCACTCTGAGAAAACAGATTAAGGACCTGGAGGATCAGAACAGTGACTTGCGCAGACGTCTGAGCAACTATAATGATGCCACTAAGCTCATGCTGGACTCAGCTGAACTGGACGGAATCTCAAAAGCTGAAATCTGCACAAGATACAGTGAGTTGAGTGATTTAATGTCGATACAGAACTTTTCAGTAGAAACAACTGTGCTTGAAAATGTTTACACTGGGACTTGCTGGCATGGAAAAAGCATTTATGATTTTTTCCAAAATTTACAAATGCAGACATAAATATTGCAGTTTTTTAATATACTAGATCTCATTGCTAATCAGTATAGTTCTTTAGGTTGATGGTTCCAAAATGTTAATTTGCAAAAAAAAGCATCAACCGTCATAAAATGTGTGGTCTTTTAATAAGGGGCATAATTTTGAAATTTAATGTAGAATATGTGGAAACTTAATTTTCTCTTCTACCTTAGAGGCTTAGATGTTCACTTTTCTGTTTCAGTGTCACTAAAACAGAAACTGGCAAGTCAGACAGCGGAGTTGAAAAATTACAAGGAGAAAGTACAAAAATTACAAAATGATCTTATTAAGGTAGGTTCAAGTGTCAGTAATGCAGAACTTGGCTAAAAGCCATCCATGTACAAGTGTATCATATGTGTATCAGAAATTCTCCCTCCTGGGGTATGTATGTATGTATGTATGTATGTATGTATGTATGTATGTATGTATGCATGTATTTCCCCATAGAAAAATGAACGTTTTGCAGCAAATCGCAAGAACATAAAAATCCTTTGAAAATTTGTAGCAAATTATCAAGAAGTTTTTGGCAGGGCTAGTATTTTGCTAAGGGTACTCGTAGCTCTCATATCTGGGAATAATGCTCCATATAAATAACCAATGGAGTTACTGTTTGTAGGTAACACATCTCTTTTATTATATTATTAATTAATTGATTTATTATTAAAATAATTATTTTTTTAATTTTTCAAGAAAAATGACAAGGAAAAAGAGTACATCAAAATGAACCAAGCCCACAGCTCTCAGCAGGAAGCCATTCAGAAACTTCAGACTAAAGCTCAGAAGGTGAAAAAACTTGAAGATGCCTGCCGACAACAGGAGAAAGTCATTGAGAGGATGGAGAAATTACTGGACAAACAGAGTAAAGGAAAGTCAAAAGGTATTCAAATGGGGCAAATGTGTCAGTATATGTGTGCATGTATAGGTGAGTGGGTGGACAGGCATGTGTTTATGTATGTGCATTATATTAAAGGTATATGCTTCTTATAATTTATAATATTTTAAACAAATTATCATGAAGTCAATCAGAGNTATAAGTGTGTGTGTGTGTGTGTGTGTGTGTGTGTGTGTGTGTGAAGAAGAGAAGAGTCTAACTCACAGCATTATTAGCAGCTGCAGCAGGTACCATCCCCACTGGGTTAGGTTTCTTCTTCTCCTCTGCAGACCTTCTGAAATTTTTCATCAAAAAAACACACCAAATGACTTTTGTATCACTGAACAGTTATAAAACAAATATAATCAATTAAATAAAAAAATTATAATAATATAATAATAAAAGTGAAAAAAATTGAAACCCAGGTAATTTATATTCAAGATGTCCAATCTCTCCCTCCCTCTCTCTCTCTCAGCACACACACATATGTACAAGGGCATATGCACACACACACGCAATGAGTCACATAGGCAGAAGGACAGACAGACAGAACTAAGATCAAATTCCAGTTATCTGTTTGCTGGTTTTTAAATGTAGTTATTAGTTATACAGTTATATATACTGCAGGTCATTAAAGCAAACTTTGACCAATGTTACACAGTCAACTGTACTTTGTCAACCATCTTAGGCTGTATTCACAACAGCGAACTAACTAGTCCGCAGATCACATATGGCGACCCCCTTATAAGCTTGCTGAATTATCCCCTAATAGACAATGAATAGATTCCCAGTGGGGATTAGGCAACACTCATTCAAGTGGGTCAGCCATATTTGATCTGTGGAGTACTTAGTGCCTCCTAATTTTTTTTCAGTCTCAGCAATCTTGGCCTGAAAACTTAAGTCATATTGTGTTAGTTCTGCCTGCACACCACATTACTCCTGTCACAACTAACACAATGAACACCACCATGTTTTTTATCATTTTATCATATTTATTTATTCATTTTAATATTTTCATTACTGTTGTTGTTGTTTTGCTGGGAGAGTGAGTTTATCTCCACATGTTGCCTTCTAGGCATGGACAGCAGCACAGCTACGGAAGCCAATGAAATTTTGTTAGCCGAAAATAGACGACTTAGGATAGAAATTGAAGATCTGAAGGTAAGAAAACATTAAAAAGTAATGAAGATGTTTGATGCATGTACTTGTAATGTATTTACTAGAATCTGCATCAGACTTTTAACAACAAATAAGGAAAATAGTCTCTCCGTAAAGCAATTTGTTAATCTTTACTTTGCATGTTACAAATGTGATTTCTTAAAATAGAAAAACTGTATGCTGTTTTGGCAATCCTCAAGCATAACAAAAAGCATATTATTCAACACAACAGTCTAAAATTTGCAAATAAACTTTAGGCTTAAAGTTACTGTTAAGATGCATGTTTTAAATACCCATCGAGATTTTCCCTCAAGCCCCAATGCATGGAAAAGGCCCATCCTGAATGAAAATTTGATCAAAGTTTATGTCATTTCTCAAGGTGGGTCAACTGGTGGGGTAAAAAAGTTTAGAAAAAGAACTCCTTCTCCTTCGGAAAATGCTGGCTACAGGTCTGATCTTTGATTCCTACTAGAAAGTTTGGATGTTGTTTGTTTGTTTGTTTTGCTTATCTGTTTTGCGATGGACTTTGTCAATTTTAGGATAGACCAAATCCTGGCAAGGAGCCAGAAAATGATGTAGAGAAGCTTGAGCTGTACCAGGCCCTGGATAAGGCAGAGGGCAGGATTATGTCTTTGGAAAAACAGGTATGGTCCCAAGTCTGGCTTTCTCTTTTGTCTTACTGCCTTGTCAACTCTTTGTCTGTTATATTTACATGTTTTGGTGATTTTTAATGCAATTCTTGATGTAAAAATTGAAGTGAAATAAATGAAAAAAATTAATAAAAATGGAAAGAAGCACTACATGTTACAATTCAGTTCAGCTTTTCACATAATATATCTCTTCTGTTAATATTCCCTGGCAAGACTGAACCCTGGCTATTTTTTTGCAATAAATAATGCTAATGTTAGGAGGCAGAGGCGTCCAGTAAATCAACATGGCTCCAGCCAGGCAATTAAAATGCTGTTTCGCCCCATTTAGCACAGTGCTTAGTATGGTGCTAGCATGTGACTACACGTATTTTTAACACCCCTATGATTTCTGTAATGGAACCAAATAAAACATAGTGTTTAAAACTGCACTATGGCTCTCTAATAGTAATAATAAAGATACAGATGATTTCGTTGAAAGTATACCTTAATGGGTTTTACTTCAAATGCAGATTTCGGCAGAGTTTAAAATGGTAAAAGTGTATATATAGTAGTTTAATTCATGATGTCTGATAATCATGACTAATTCACAAAGGCATTCACAATTTTCATTTAAGACAATGGGAAACTGAGTAAAAATTTTGATGTTCTGGAGTTACATGTGGCCTTAGTTCGTGTGGAGTGTTGTCCTGCTGTTTGTGAGTGCAGGCAAATGCAAGTGCCATGTTGTCTAAGATACTTCCTCTTTTCGTTATCTTCTAGTTGGCAGAGAACTCCAGACAGTGGGGGAAGGAACGTGCTGAACTGATGATAAAGCTGAACGAGGCCGAACATGGTTTTGGGCGAAGCTCACAGATGGTGCTACATGATTTCCCTCTGAAGGTTAGGTTCCCTGATTATATACACCTGGTGGAGAGAGAGAGAGAGAGAGAGAGAGAGAGGAGGAGTAGGTGGCTTCATTGTAATAAATTAAGGGTGGAAATTTTGTTATGGGGTGGGGGGGTAGTAATCAGATTTACTAAGGCTGTCTTATACACTCTTGAAAAGAAAAAAAGACCCCCCTCAAAAAAAAAAAATATATATATATATATAAATAAATAGGGAAAAGAAAAGAAAAATTAAAAAAAAAAAAAAACATTCCAAGTCCTATGTAAACTACTCTAGTAACTAAATGGACATCTAATGCAATGTGCCATCACAGGAAGGCCCCCAGATCCCAGTGTAGTTTTATAAAAATATTATTTTGCTTTGGCAACGATTTTGGTAAGCATGTTGCCTTCATCATTTGTACAACACATTAATGATTCATTATGTGTCATCGAATGAAGTCCATGTAGTAAATTACTGTTAGACTGGCATAATCCTGTTTGTGCTGGCTTGTATCTGTGATCTTAAGCTTGGAGCCTTCATCCTGGTGACTGCTTGTACTGCATGAACTTAGGGACCGTTCACATGAAAAATCTATTTTCTCGCCGCTGCCAGTTATTACACCGCGGGGTATTCAGGGCACAGACCGTGATCACAAAATACCGCAAATAGATTTTTAGAAAATAGATTTTTCATGTGAACAGTCCATTATAACACACAGCTAGTGAGTGTGGCTGTAGTTGGTCATGTATCTGAACAGGAGTGGTCAGACCAGCTTGTTTACAATGTAGGCAAAAAAAGGTCAATTATGAAGGATACTGAAGCCTTAATTATTGCCACTTCTACACATTAACACGCATTCTATGCATTAGTATTGATTCTAAGTGTTTTGCAGGTGCTATTATGTTTTGGAAAGACAACAAGCAGTAGATCCATGTATATAGAGACTCAGATTTGTGTTAACATTCAGCCTCACTATACAATATTACCTCACATGTCATTCACATTTATATAGTACCAGTATATACTGGGTCCACGATATTAAATGTGCATGTCAACCTAGTTTATTGGCCTGCCTGGTATTTGCAAGTTTGCCAAAGACAGTTTAGTTGTAGTTAAAGTAGGTCAGTACAAAAAAAAAAGGCTGTAGCATGCACTACAATATATTGTATATTGCACTTAGTTACATTATGTTTTGTAGAAAAGCAGGTAATAAATCAACTTTGTGGAGTTAATTATTACACGAAGGCTATCAGTTCAGATCCCTGGGCAACAAATTGCTGAATTGTTGTAAAACAAAGAAAGTTGGTATTTTTGCTGTTTTCATATGGCATGTAATATGTTTTAAAGTGTACACGTGCTGAATCCCAAGACTGATGACCATTTTTTCTTGAATTCCTCTTCCAGTACCCTGACCAGGCCTACGATTACCCAGAAAAGGATGGCCCCTCTCGGAGATTCTCGAAGGGCCCTGGACGTTCCAGGTACCCAGGTTCGCCTAAGCTAGAGCCTCTTCATTATAAATGACAGGCAAGAGAGGCGGGATAGTCTAAAGATGGCATTTATCATGCTGTTCAGGTGTGGTAACTCTTTTAACTCAGTCCAGGTGTGGACATAAAAGCTATCAAAGTGTGATGTTAATCATCCAGACTTGCTGTGACTTAGACAAGATGCACAGCAGGAAGCGACACTTTTGTACTGTAACATGCAAGCTGGCTGTAGTATGAGCACATCTTGAATATTGCCGTTATGTATACAAAAATGTTGGAAGAGCGATAAAGGTGTACTGCATATATGTGGAAAACCAGGAAATGCAGCTCAGAAAAAAGATTTCCAGTACACTTTGTTTGATGCCAAATACATGTGTCTGATGTAACTGTTTCTTTCGTTTCTAAAAAATATTTTTGATACCTTAGTATACTTAAACATTATGATTTCAGTATAAATACATGACATATAAACCTGAATAATGGGCTAATGGAGGAAGGGCCTATATTAGTGAGAACCCCCCCCCCCCCCACCCCACCCCAAAGAAAATAAGTGAAAAAAAAACTTGTCAATATTACTAGCTATGTGTGTGAACTGTTTTTATGAATTTTATAAGCACAGGGTACTTAGTTACTTACATAATGGAAGCTTATCAACAAAGGTTTTTTTTTCTTTAATTTGTTGGTGCAATAGACATTGAAACGTCTTTTATCTGTGATTATTATGTTTAACACTTATTTGATAGAAATTGTGAAGCATACTCTATGCTGTGTAGGTTTGTCAACTCTCATAATAAAAGTTTAATTTTTCCTATTTTTGAACGTTTTGCTTCTTGTTCCTTTTTGTAAATTGTTTGCCTATCCATTTATTTGGTGGAAAATAATAATTTAAACTTTGAGTACTATGCGTTGTAGTTAATTAAAATAGGGAAAAATAAAGGAAGGTGACGTATTGGTTGACTTATGAAGTAAAAACTAATTGAATTGCAAGAAATACAGTTAAAAACATTTTGATCTGAAAAAAAGCAAAGCTGCCAAATGTACAGACACAAAGCAGAAAATGATCATGCTTCTGCTCAAATTATTGTCACATCAATTAAAAGATACAAATATTATGCTGAAAACGTTAGCATTTTGGAATACACGTATCGTAATTGGCACTTAAACTAGACGCAGACGACACGCTGTGATCGTCTGCACCTGAGCGTTCAGACGGTGCGCCCACTCTCCCTTAGTATCCATGGTATCAGAAATGTACTATAAACAATACATTCTGGATGACAGTTACCTGTATATGACATCGCAAGAACGCAACCGCATGTCACTTCATGAAAGAGACTCGAGTGCATAGGACCCCATGCATATATCCTCAGTATCTGTTAATGAAAATATTGACGGAGTAATTGTGAGATCTATTGCAATCAATCATTGTTGACACTAAATGCTCATCAGTGGTCGCATTGGAGGGGAACGTGCCTTTGTGAAGAAAAGCAGAAATGAGAATACTGTGGACAATGTTTTTGCAAGATAGGCCTGCGCTGTGTACATGTAGTGACATGTACTAGTAGGCCAACATGTACTGAGCACGAAATGTATGCTATGAAGATGCATAATTTTTTGTATTTACGTATTCATAAATGGCACCTGTACATGTATATAAGACACAAAAATTCAGAAAATCGTAACTCTTGTAAAAAAGCGAACATTTTAAACAATGTCAGTGACCTTGCTCTGAAAGTCAGCTGTCCAAACATCATCCAATACCTATTCGTCGTCTTGTTTTCTGGGATCATCTATTATGCTTCTAACACATTTTATTCATCTCAAATTGTTTATGCATAGATAAATTGAGGTTATGTTAAATCTTACAAAACTTTTGATAAAATCTGGTTTTAATGCATATAATGCTTAATAAAAACCCACCAAATATTGGTGTATAGAAATCCATGCAATGTTTTATAATGACCTGATATTGCATATCATGTTCATCCAATGAAAATAAAGTATCCAAGGAGAACTATTGCCAGAATAGCCTTTTTCAACAGTAAGCAAAATGCATATGCTCGATTTGCATCGTAAAAACTATACTGCTGCCTGATAAAAAATTTAACCTCAAAGCATCCCTGTGTGGACATTCCCTGTCCGCGTTCAAATTGTTTTTAGTCCGAGGTCTATATTAATAAGTATAAAGACAGTCGGGGATCTCTACCTTTGCCATCTGCTTGGAAAGGCGCGGTATTTCTGGAAGCTTTATCGTCCAAAGAGAAGAGAACCGCCCCACTTATAATATACGATAAGCACGCACAGGAGGAAGCCGTAAGTTATGAACCGCCCGAGAATGTTTCGGATGTAGCAATTTCGGAGCACTTTCCAGAACACTTCGTCAGCAGTTCCCCACAGAGGTTGCACTTGGCTCTCGACCTGGCCAGATGGCGAAGAGGAAAGCAAACCAAGCCCGCCAGAAAGAACAGGGCGGCGGCAAGTCCGAATGGGACGTAGAAGTTCCCTGATACGTCGTGAATGGAGCCTAATGAAGGAAATCACAAAGGATAATTGATTCGTTTAATGAATTATAATTAATTAAAACGTGCATTTAAAGAATAAAATCATCTTTGTGTTTTGTATGCAAAGTTCGGTGTACGTGTGTGTTTGTGTGTCAGTAGGAGAGATATAATATCTTTACAACACTGACCTTTGTTTGAAAATTGCAAGAGTTTGTTGCAAATTTTTCAAATGGAAGATATACATGCATACCTGTTATAACAGGGCAGATTATATAACCGATGCCTTGAAACATTGCTATCCATCCGAAGGCATTTGTTAATTTCCCTACTCCCAGTAAGTCTACGATGACTATGGTTCGTAGTGATACATAAGAACCTGAAAGGCAGACGAAAATTTCAATACAAAAGACATCTTGAACAACAGTTATTTAAAATGAGCATCCTGTTCTTTCACTACCCCTAATACTGTCTTAAGATTTCATTACAAAATATACGCCACCCTTTTTATGGCTCGTTTTCCGACACCCACCTACGTTAAATCCAAAAGCTTGAGCGCAGGCGGGATCGAATATTTCAAATCTTACAGAAAAGCCTCATCATACATGTTATACTTCGTAGAAACTATAAAATTTTAACAACAAACTAAAAGAACATTTTATTGGTTCATTCATCAAAACCTTGGACAAAACCCACCCGCGTTAAATCCAAAGGCAAGAGCGCAGGCAATAAGTATTTCAAAAGTGTGACAGAAAGGCATCGCCATACATATAATGCTTTGTAAAATCAGGCTGCAATAGTACAGTTTCAATGGGTCTACTCGCTGGCAGTCCGCCACTAGACCCATGACCACTCTGCTGATGGTGGATGTGATCCCCGAGCACATGAGCAGGAAGGCGGCATGCTGTTTGTTCATACCATGGTGCACGGCATGGTCGCCAATGTAGGTGAATGGCGTCGTTTGAGCTGTAAAGAGCAATCTTAATTAAATCTTACACATAGCGTGGTGCCAAAAGTGTCATGGGTAAATACAGAAATAAAAGAAAATGAATTTTAGAATTTTAAAGGCAGTGCGCTTCTTGAGATTAATCTTGTCATCGTTATTTATCAAACGAATCTATACTGGAGATTTTCAGTACTGCACTAAGGCTCTATTCCCATAGATTTTAGATCGATCTATCCCCGCGGGGAGTCTCACTAGATTACTTTCAGATAATCCGACTTAAATGTCCGTCCCGCCTACTACAAGCTGTAAGGGGGTAATTAACTTTCGTGTCCGCCCGGCTGACAGCTATTTAGCGTGAACCCCCAGGGAGTTAGGTCGATCTAAAGTAGGTCGATCTAATCTATGAGAATGGGGTGTATGGAAAAGGGGTGTAAAATTAAAATCGTTCAAAGACAAAAAAGTGCTCTTGAAGAGAGTGGTGGAGGCTTTTCTCCGAGCAATAAGATTATAGGACAGTAGTATGTTTTCTGTATTAACTATAGGTTAAAAATAAGACCAAGCTTTTGTTAAAGATGCCATATGCTCACTTTGCGTGTTAGAAAGATAGTGGTATAGTGAATGAATAAATAAAAGAATACAAAATGTGTGTCATATACTGGCGACCGAACTATGTACTGTAGTTAGAGGTCAATAATGCGACCTGTGCAAACGGTATAGTAGGGTAACTACCAGTACTACAATAAAAGACTTTACACCTGCCGACAAAAAATGTGAGATTTTCATGGGTTGTTAGGTTCACAAAACTGGTTTTCATGTGAAAAATTTGCTGACGCTCAAAAGGCAGTTTACCTGTCCATAAAAAGTGTGAAATTGCTAGGACAACGAAAACTGGATTCTTAAATAGTACTGGGTCTAACATCATTACAAGGACATCCTTGAACGTGGACGAGTCAACTTGTTCTGGACTTTCCTCGAGTGGTAAATTGCTCATACTGTGTTTGAATGAGTTGATGCTAGAACTTTCTTTATATTCCTTCAGATTCATTATACTTCCACTGTAGAAAATGTCTTTTCTGTACAAGGGCCCGAGTCTTGAATTTGAGTTCAAAGAACGTCGTGAATGACTTAGCCTGTGATTGTGTTTTGGTAACATCTTTTTCCCTGATGTGCGCGCTTCTGTATTGTCACGGTCTTGCGAAAGTGTCACCATTGAGTTTGGGGCGTTCGGGGGTGTGCTTGAGTTAAAGTGTTCCATTTTTACCCTGTTGACCTGAGGATTAGACAGAAAATTTTTATGGGGCTTCTCGTCCCAAGGATAATTGTTGATATTCAAAGAACGAAGCGAGGAGAAAGGATGCTCTGTCCCGCTAAGCCCGGTGTCAAACGTATCCACTGGTTTTGGTGCACCGTCTGTTTGCAAATGTAGCGTACGTGGCTTCGTAGTGAGATCGCTTTCGTCCTCCTCATCGTCCTCCTCGATAGTCCTGTAGACGGCCCCAGAAATAACTCCGTGCAGGGTTATACCGGCTATGATAATCAGACCACCTTTCCAATAGAATATCTCGAACAGGTACTTCGTGAGAGGCGCATACGCAAAGAACCCGATGCCAGAACCGCACATCCCTAGTCCATTAGCAAGTGCCCGGCGTCGTTCAAAATAAAATCCAATTATGATGATGGCAGGGATGTACATCATGCCTATCCCAAGACCTAAAACACAACATGTCGTCAAGAAATAAGACATCTGTATCAATTAATAGAGTTGAGTATCAAATGGAGGTATTCAAATGAATGATTTTAAAGAGACTAAATACGAACTTTTGGCAACCATTACTTTATATAAAAGTGTCTCAAACTTAAACACAGAAACAGAGAAAAGAGAGACCAAGTACTTTAACCAAGAAATAAAAACTGGAAAAATAACCGTTGCAAGAATAGAAAGCAATACCCCTTTCCTAGGACGAGGCGAACGTAGAAATAAGAAGCCGGCTTTGTACGGTCCGATGTGGGCCACCTTACCGGTCAAGAACCCCAGGGTCACTATCATGATGTAGATGTTGGGGGAGAAAGTGCTGACGAATATTGAGAACGACGCTAGTAAACTCCCCGTGATAGTCACTCGGCGGCAGCCAAATCTGTTCACCAATGCGCTAACCAGTGGTCCTGAAAAAGGCAATCCGATATAAAATGAGCGTTGAATAATCTGGATATTCATTCAAAACATGGAATTAATTTAAATTAAGTGAGGCGGCATTTCGGTGAACAATTCATTTTAAAAAACAATAGCTGCAATGTTGCCTTATGAGCAGGGCTAAGTAAGAGCATAAGAAAAAGTTTACTCTCTCCTCCCCCATCCCCTCACCTCCTATGTTTGAAGAAAGGGTGCAGTTTGGGGTCCTTGGAATTTGTTTTTCTTCCTTGTTTTAATCCACCTTTTTATTTGGGAAAAGAGAAGTACTCTTTGATCTGTCTGTTTTCTAGCGCTTAAAAGTAATACTATCGAGTGCAGTCAATTATATCATAGGAAATACGCTTGATTTGATAGTTGAGTGAATGAGTGACCTTATCCTTAAATCAGTTGGCCGAATTTGAAATATCCAAAACAGTCAAATACGACATCCAAATGGTGAAGTTCAATTTTCACTAAGTGGCCACCATAGGTGTCAGGGCTTGAAGTCTGCAGTCAATCTAACACACCATCATGTTTTGATTTGATCTTATAGGACTACCACATTTACTGCATGGTTGGCTCAGTTTTACTAAGCGAGTTTTGAGGGAAGACATAAGGCCCAATGTAACAACGGACAAGACGGAGAGTTTTAGGGACCATTCCCAGACCCTATCGTACTAATTGTGGATCGATCTGTCTACCAGGGGATTTTCGCTCAATAGCAATCAACTTAAGCGGCTTAGATGTCTGTCACGCCTACTGAAGCTGCTAGGGGGTAATTAATTATCATTTAGCAGCTTCGGTAGGCGTGCCAGACATCAATGCCACTTAAGTTGAAAGTAATTTAGCGAGAAACCCCTCGGAGATGGATCGATCCTGTTACATCGATCTAAGTATGGGAACCCAGTCTTAGGCTTCGTTCACATGCAATGTCTATTTTCTAAATTCTATTTTCTATTCGCGCTATCTTATGATCACGGTCTGTGCCCTGAATATCCCGCGGCGTAATTACTGGCAGCGCGAGCCAGTTACTTATAGTAACTTATAGTAACTGGCTCGCGCTGCCAGTAATTACGCCGCGGGATATTCAGGGCACAGACCGTGATCATAAGACATGCCGCGAATAGAAAATAGAATTTAGAAAATAGACATTGCATGTGAACGAAGCCTTACATTTCTAAGACCTGGCGGGCGCTGCGTTTTCAAAGTGAGAGTCTGTGTCTGGGACATAACTTCAGTTATGCAAGTCACGACGCCCGTTAAGAGAACTTACAATAGCCTCAGCAACCATCAGCTGGACATTACCTCAGTATAACTGCACAATTAGGAGATAATACATTATTCCCAGCAGGCATCAGCTGGGGCATGACCTCAGCATAACTGCACAAATTAAGGGTATTGTTAGCCTTTGCCAAAAACTCCTTATGTGATGTCTTACATACTTTCTTTTGGATAACAGATGAATCTTCAGTGTTCAGCGACTAAATTAATTAACATTTACACACATTTGATCTTACGGGTTTCTCAAATTTCTCCTGTACCTGAGCACCCACGAACACCGGTTTAATGGCTTTGTTCGGATTTTATCATTGATAAGGCAAAGTAATGCCTTTGATTAATGAAAAGCTGCAATTAGGGGCTCAAAACGTCATAATAAAAACAATTTAAACCAAAGTAACGACACAGGATTGTAGCACGTAAAGTCGTGGTCAACTATGCCAATTTTCGTGATGAAATCTTGTTCAGGGGGGAAGTAACGCCCATACCGATTGCTATCTCTCCTCAAAATAGAAAGGTGTTAAATTGACGATTAAAGATTTGAGTTGCCTATAAACGCCGATGTTCTATATTTTAGAGGGGATTTCAATGTTTAAAATCAACTCAAAGATACATTATTGAATAATTAGATGCAGTAAAAACCTCATTTTCGGTATGTGGATTATGATAAAGGCTTACAGTAGCCTTAAGAGATAATACATTATTCCCAGCAGGCATTAGCTGTGGGATGACCTCAGCGTAACTGCACAAATTTAGACAGAATACATTACTGAGATTAGCCCAGTAGTCATCAGTTGGGGCACAACCTGCCAACCCCATCTTAAACAATATATATATATATATATATATATATATATATATATATATATATATATATATATATATATATATATATATATATATATATATATATATATATATATGGAAAGAACAGATACTTGAGTAACATCGTTTTCTCTAACGCGCTGGTTTCATTGATTTTTGTACTAGTAAATATCTAACTGTTAGTGAACTTATATATTATTTCCATTTTCGTTTATTTTTAATTTAGCTTTTTATTCGTTGATAATTCATTTTGTTGATTTGCTTCTTAGTTAAATTTGGTTTTTAGTTTATCAAATCATTTTTGAACAGTGCAACACAGTTTGAAAAACCAGACTTTACCGCCGTCCAAGCCAGAATTTCCTCGCCAAAAACACATATTTAACGAATATTCCCGGGTTAAACTGTATTTCATACCCGACTAACCAATCTTTGGTCTTCCTTTTCTGACACTAGAGTAGCTCTGTAACAATTTTGGAAAAAAAGCAAAAGATCAAAACTCGCACTTAAGCTCGCGTTCTTCCAATACCCCGAACTTTTCAATGGCTCGACATCCGAGTCACAAGAATCGTGCCGTGACCCGCTTAATTTTCAAAGCGATTTATGCACCTAGAATGCGTTCAGAATCCTGGCTTGGATCAGTATAACGTCTCAACGGAGTGTTTTTTTACGCGCATGAGGACTAGTTGGTAAAAACAAGCACCAAATATCCCTTTTCCTCACACCTTCACCCTGTGTTTCAAGAACTAACAGCGTTCTTTGCTGGACAGCATACGCTTTCTGTTGCAGTCCAGCAACGACGACAAGAGGTATACGCGGTAAAAAGAGAGTTAACCTTGAAACTCAAGGTGTGTATCTTATCACCTCCTCCTGCCCCTCTTATTCTATCATTACGAACGTCACATCAGAAAATTCTGTTTTAAAAAAGCTCACAAAACGTATCTTCATATACTAGAACACCCATAACTGTGACGTGACTATTGCGATTTCATCAAAGATGGCCTTCATCTTGGACGAATAAAATACGAAGATGCGTTTTATTGGTCCAAGCTTCAATTCGCTGAGAAAAGCTCGTTGAAAGTTTAAGATTTAAACTTTATTTATTTATTTATTTATTTATTTATTTATTTATTAAAGAAATAAACATGCACTCCGAAGGTGTGTTTTAAATTCTACACCATAACACAAATGGCATCAGACTTAAATATACAGAGGAATACTGTTTTACACAGAAACAAACTTGTCTAATATTGTTCACGTACTAGTAGATATACCACATTTGTTTGGCTGACTACATTCATCTACTAAGTTGGTCATTTTTCTTTATCATTTCTGCTGTGAAGTCTTAAGATTAAGAAAGCTAAATTTGTCCTGGGTATTAATGTGTGTGTATACATTTTAGTTAATATTAAATTCACGTCATATCATGGACCTCATCTTCAACCTTGCTTAATTTTCTTATTCTCTCCTGAAGGGTTACTCATACAGGTTTGTACATGTAGCACATGAAACCCCTGTGTAAACTACACAGCTTTATCTAAAATGAGACGGTTTTAGAAGACCACAGCACTTTCTTGTTGACCTGACGCGAACTGCAGCCGTGTGATGATTGGAGAAGATAATTTCACGCACATGCGATCAAGCGTAAAAAGGATTTGCTGATACAAATGGACATAAATTATGACAGGCAGTCCATTTATGCTCATATTATGTAAATCGTGGCCATATTTCGCCTTTAGCTCTGGTCATTGGGCTGAATTATTGCTCGACAGAAAGCAATAAAACATTTGTTTTTACACAAAGCCTTTGGTGGGGAGATGTTGACTTTAACGTAAAGCCTAGTAAAAAAAAAAAAAAAAATTAAAAANACGCCCCACACCCCTAACAACTGGTGTGGGGTGGACGCCGGACTCATTTTCCTTGCCGCTGTTCAATTTGATTTCCTCCTCCTTGTCCATCTCACCGGGATGCCTGAAAATACATGGTGCTGCTGAGAGAGGCTAAAATTTTACACTGCACGATTATGAAGTTCAAGAATTATTAGGTCGGATAAACATAGTCTAATAGTTATGATATATGGTTACGCTCTGTATCCCTGCTAGAGAAACTGTCACATCTAGCGCATAGCACTAAAACGTTTGAGAAAAAATGCCCATACGCAGGGAAACGCATGGGGTTTGTTTATTACGCAGTATACGTCTCAAGTACGCAGGAAACGTTGGTATACGTTCGCATTCCAAGAGGGAGATAAAATGTTAAAATGTTTCGAGCATGATCAAAACCGATTTCATCCGCTGCTCTTCATTTTAATACGCTGGGAAGAGAGTGATATCATAGGCTCAAAGTTGTACGTATAACTGATTTCACGTACGACACTCAAGGTTACGTACCTCTTTACGCTAGGTGTGACAGAGCCTCAAGGGTGTATTGTCACCCCACGAACTGTAGCACAGGCTTGGTTACACGGTAGAAGTCTCATCTTTACCACGTGCACCTGATGTACACTGACTATTCCAAGGCCAGACACCTCAACATTTTGGGTATATCGGAAACGAGGCGCAAATGTGAAGGATGGGTCATTAGAAAAGTTAGCTTGTTTATTGTCAATAAGCCAAAGGATGGTACGAAAACCTCAACATTAACAACAACAAGGACGCCAGAAGGTGAATTTCCGCCCACGTGTGAAATTTTACTTTTTTTATATATCTTTCAATATTCTTATATATCTTTCAGTATTGTATAAGTTAACTATTGGATAACTTAATCAAAATATGATTCTCTCTCTCTCTTTTTCTCTCTCCCCCCTCTGTCTCTCTCAAACGGAACACAAGGAAAATATTTTAAAAACCTGTAACTAAATTAAACGTTTCCTATCTATATTTACCTTCAACAAAAAGCGTATTGCCTGGATACGTATTTGGCTTAACCGCCTCCTCTACGTTGTACTCGGTACAATACATAAGATATGTCATCTGGTCTGAGGAAAAATTGTTGGAAATATTTTTTTCAACTTCCAACAAAGGAAACGTGTCCTTCTTTACTTTTGCTCCAAGCGTCACACTGCGAGGTATTGTTTCACAAGTTTACAATTAAGTACCCTAAAACACTTCAAATGAATGTACCAAATCACACTGCGGTGAAATAACAATGACCCCATAAAAAGCAATTTGAGGATTTAAATCCAAACCTGCTTTATGGTTTGAATACCAGACAAAAATTACCTATGAGGCGATGTTCTTTGTTGAAAAAGGCTACGAGATGAAGCTTGGTGTAAGTGAAGATAGAAGTTCTGTAACTTTGTAAAAAGCATTTATCGAGTTGACGCTTATACGGCTTGTTGTCTTGGCTCTGTAGAACGCCATGGTTGTGCTAAAGGCCAACTTTTTTATGGCATGTTTACGTATTATTTTATGTATTATTTATTAATCGCTTATTTATTTATTTATTTATTTATTATCATTATCATTTTTTTTGCAGTAGCGCCATCCTGTCATCTTGCCAAACTCCTTTTGTGACCTCAAAAGTGACCTCAAATTTCCCTGACCTTACATCAAGCCGTGTTCCGGTCGTAAATCACACTAGTAAATGAACCCACATGGACCAGAATTGATAACACAATACTAAGGCAATATTATGTTTTATGGTATTATTATATGGTTGAACTGTAATATTTTGTAAGCCCTCTGATAACATTTGTGAATCTTTGACGCTGAAATAATAACTACATGTACATTCAGGTACTATAAATCGAACGCCGATCCACAAAAACTCGAATAAAAAGTCGTCATTTGAAGATTAAACAATCGTCTATGCAGGTATTGCTTTGTTTAGATGATTGTAAAACGAAAGGGTGGATGCTATATTGCACTTTCACACGAAGATGCATTTAAATGTCATCGAAATCTAGATCACTGCTTTTAATTTGTCTTGTTGGTAGTTGTCAACTGGCCGGGCTATCAAGTGTTTTGTCTTTTGAAGATTTGGAGATCCAAGAGAAAAATCCTTTGTTGACGCAGTAACGGTTGCCAACTGGGCTATCAAGTAGACCCACTTTGTCTTTTGGGATAGTGAACATACTACATGCTGCAATCAGTCAACTCTCAGGAGACGCTGTCGTGCAATAGGCGCGCTCTGCGGCGTCTCACACCGAATTCGAAGTGCTCAGTTGCGACCGCTCGCTATAATATAATAACAGTCACATCATAAAGAATCTTCTTGCTTCACTTTAAATCACTGAGGCCATTTGACTTGAAATTAATGTGTGGATAAAATACCCATGTTGCTTTTTTAGGTCATCCAGGTCCTGTGGGTTCTGTTTCTCATTAATAAATGAACTGAG